AATAACGTTTTCGGCTGATTAGGCGGAGTTAAATAGCCTCAAAACCGTTTCGCTATGAATAAGCACAATGTTACTAAGAATGATTGAATATATCGTTATCTATAATAACGTTTTCGGCTGATTAGGCGGAGTTAAATAGCCTCAAAACCGTTTCGCTATGAATAAGCACAATGTTATGCGTATTATTGTTTGGTTGTTTGAAGTTAAGCACAAAGCTACGCAATGGGCTATCTGTGCTCTGCTCACCACAGGTATCGAAACCCGGTTTCTAGCGTTGTAACTCCGCAGACATGCGGCTTTGCCACTGGAGGGGGGGGGCGTTATATTCTGACAAACCTAACTGAAGCATTTATTTGTTTCGGCAAACAAAATATGGAGTATTTCAAAACAACTTACATTAAATTCCAGCAATATATGACTAATTCTGTCTACATTATCTATGGATTACCGTAACACGTAAATTAAACTAAAATAAACAGATATAAAAATATGTCGTTTCATAGCGAATATAACGTTGTAACCTGAAAAGGGGGGCAGGTGAACCCGAAACCTCGTTTTGAATAATTAAAGTTAGTTTATTTTATATATGAATTTGAGTTTTTAAATTAATTTTCTCTCTTAAGTGTCAGAGATATTATAGGACTACTGTTTATTAAGAATTGAATCTACATAATATTAAAGAGATGAATGAAGCTATAGCAGAGTTTGTTAAAAATTTTACAACTTATTTTCACGTTTAATACTTCTTACATTTTGTTCGGGTGTATTTTAACGAGGCAGTCTATCTCGTCATTCCTTTGTCGAATTGTTACTGATCACAGAAATTCGCAATATCCATGAGATCTTTCTGAAAAAAAAACCCAACAATCAACTACTAAAAACTGTACTGAAAAATAACCCCAACAGTCAGCTACTAGAAATTGTACTGAAAAATAGCCCCAACAATCAACTACTAAAAACTGTACTGAAAAATAACCCCAACAGTCAGCTACTAGAAAGTGTACTGAAAAATAACCCCAACAATCAACTAATAAAAACTGTACTGAAAAATAACCCCAACAATCAACTAATAAAAACTGTACTGAAAAATAACCCCAACAATCAACTA